AGAAAAAAATCTACACTTTCAAAAAATTTAATAGAATTGCAGTATTTTTTAAAAGTTCATAAAGAAATGTTAAAACCATTCCACAAAGATACAGCACTTTACAGTTTATAAGCAGTTTTGTATTTCATTTTTCTGACAATCCAGTTAGGTAAAAAGCAAGGTTACCTATAGCCCTCAACAGATACAAGAGCAGGTATGGACCATGAGTGAAATCCCAAATCCTCTGCCTCATATCCTAAGTCTTTTTTCACTATCCCACATCACATACTAATTTCCATACAGTCTAAGAATAGCAGTATTTTTGGTCTCCTTTGAACATTCTGCCTGGAAATCTACAAATTCTTTTATACCTCATCCTGTTAGGCAAGCAGAGCAGGGCATCAGTCTCTGTTTACAGAAGACTCAGTAAAATCATTGATCTTTCCAAAGATGACAAAACTAATAAAGACTAAAACTGCAGCATATCCAGAGAAGGATGACCAAATTCAAAAAGGGCCAGAAAAGTAAGTAATGGGAAGAGTGGCTGAAGGAATAAAGGATGATTCACTTAGAAAGAGGAGGGGAAAGTGACATACTTGCACACACACAAATGTTGTCATTAGACACGTGAAACGCCATCATACAAGGAAAGCAGACTTGTGCTATATGGCCCTAAAAGGTAAAAACAAAGGCAATTCAACACTCCTTCAACAAACATTTACTGGTTATCCACTCTGTTCCAGATGCTTCTGCTACATTAGGTAATCAAAAGGTAAATAAGAGAAGTCCCAATCCTCAAGAGGTTCAGACAAGTTGAGGAGACAAGAAAATACATAACACAAGATTTAAAGCTATGAGAACAAGGAGAATAACAACTCTAACTCTCTTTGGGCAGGGGGATAGCAGAAGAAAATTCACTAAATGATGAATAGAAATTTCAGAAGTAGACAAGGTGGAAAGTGGCATTAACAGGAAGAAAGGACCAAAAAAAAAAAAAAAAAAAAGGAAGAAAGGACAGCTTGTCAAAGGCATGGGGACATGAAGCTCTGCAATAAACCAGAAGTGGTGGAACACCAGGTACACATTAGAGGTGCCAAGAGATGAGGCTTTAAATTCGGGGTGGGAGAGGCCAGTGGTAAAGAACACAAAAGGCTTCACAATCTTCATGCCAAGGAGTTTAGACTCTAACACTCAAGCTGTGGAACACTAATAGATTGTAAGTAGGAGTATGGCATGCTCAGAAAAGGACATAGGAAAACTCATTCCTGCAGGAAGACAGATGTCTGGAGGGTAACAGTGGAGATAGATGAATTACAAAGCCACTATTGTTAGTCTAGGTGGGGATGATGATGAAAAGATTCAGATTCAAGAAATATCTAGGAGGTAAAAATCAAACAGAAGTATTGGCTATAGGAATGAGGGAATGGGGAGGGTCCAGGATGACTTCTAGACCTCAACTTGGGTGAATGGTGCACAAAGATGCCCAAGACAAGTAATGCAGGAAGACAAGTCTATGCAATCATTCAAAAATGTGAAAGCCCAGGCCCAGGAACTGGTTTGTTATTGTCTAGAGAAAGGGGATGAGTGAAGGAGGAGGGAAGGGGAGCAAAAATGAGTTTACCTTTGGTCTTGGTTAAGTAAGGTGCCTATTCAGTGAAGCTACTGAATGGCACGTGAAGAAGAGTGGACTAGGAGAGTCATTAGCTTACAGGCAGCAACTGAAGACAAGACAGAAGGAGATCAACTTTGATGCCAACATTTAATAAGGGAATAAAAGAGGGCGCCTGGGTGGCTCAGTTGGTTAAGCGACTGCCTTCGGCTCAGGTCATGATCCTGGAGTCCCGGGATCGAGTCCCACATCGGGCTCCCTGCTCAGCAGGGGGTCTGCTTCTCCCCCTGCCCTCTTCCCTCTCGTGCTCTCTGTCTCTCATTCTCTCTCTCTCAAATAAATAAAAATCTTAAAAAAAAAATAAGGGAATAAAAGAAAAACTTGAGTAACAACTAACGAACTGATCACAAAAGTAAGAGATGAATTAACAGAGTGATGCCGAAAAAGGCAAGAGAAAAGGAAAAAGAAATCAAAAGTGAGAAGGTCGAAAATTAAAGTTAAATGTGCTGCATAAAGCAAAGTTTATGGGTAGAAGTTATTCAAAATGGGAACAGACCACCTTGTGAGGTAACAAATCACATCATCAAGTAAATGATTCAGACAGATAGTGTCATCTATGTGGGATGATGACAACAGGATTCTTCCCTTAAAGGAGAAATGTAGCTACAGTACACCTCTGAAGTCTAGGACAAGGTTAGCCTCACCACCAGTATGACATTTCATCAAACACATTTTTGCATTCTGCCCAAGAATGGAATATTCGATTACTCTAGTAAAAGTTTTTTAAAAGGTTTCTACATATTTCATGTAACTCATAAGCAACCAATACTGGATTAAAACTTCACTAATTCTACTCTTGGCATACAGAAAGTTGCTGGAGAAAGTGTGGAAATAGCTCATCTGGTCTACTTTAAATTCAAACTGATTTCAACTGAGCTCTCAACACTGACTTCCCTACTTTCCCCGTTCTTGCATCTCAATTCTACCCCATCACCATTCCTTAACCCTCACTCTGATTAGAGAAGACTTGCACTGCACAGGCAGGCTGCTCTGTCCTGACTTCTTTCCCTAGGTCCCTACCCATCTTTTCAGAAATCTTCCTTCCTTCCTAAAGCCAGACAGTGTGCCTAATCATTTCCAACCCTCTACAGCTGACCATTTTCTATCACTAGTTCGTCTCCCTCCTTTGTCCTCCTCAACGTCACCCTAAATTGGAAAACCACTCCATTTATCCTGCTGTCCCACACCCTAATTTTCTCCCTTTTCTACCAAATACCTCCATCCCCCTACCACCTACTCACTGTAATCCCCCGCAGAAAGGTTTGAGTCTACCACTCTTCAAAAATAAAAAATTAAAACCCCTGACAAATGATGAGGGATCTACTGACCACTTGTTTCAGTTGCCACTTACTCAGTTCTCAATTCCCTCCATCTCTCTGCAGCTTATGACAGAACTGACCAGCCCCCTCTTATTGCAGAAATGAGAAATAAAGCAGGATGGATTGTGCAAAGCACTCTGAACCAAGAATCAGATCTGTGCTCTAGTCCCTACTAATACCACTGACTAGCTGTGAGCCTCCCCACCTCCAGTCCTCCTCACCCTTGGGATCTCACTTCTCAGACACCCTAACACCCAGACTAGGCTAGGTCCTGGCAGTATACTTTCTCAAAACCCATTCTTCTCCTTTCTAGTGCTTATCACATTACTTACTTACATAATTAGTAGTTAATGGCTATCTTTCCTACCCACTCACCAGACTGGAAGCTCCATGAAGGCAGGACACACATTTAAGCAATGCCTGCACCTCATCATCACAAAATAAAAGCCCATCAACTGAATCAGTGTTGAAATATATGTTTCAATCACTTCTAAGAGACTGCTTACATGACTTTTATTAACCTAATAAAATTATTAGTATTTTATTTATTTACAAAATTACTGACAAAATTCTAAAAAAACTCCACCAATTACCTAAAACATACATAATATGAATTACATATAAAATTAAGAGTAGGAAGGAATCTGTCTTCCAAAATAGTTACATTTCTCTTGCCCATCCACAAGAATAGAAAGGCTGGATCAGTAAACCTACATTTCAGGCCCAAAATGTGTATTCTAACCCAGGTACAGGCTGAATGTGCAAGTGCAGGTTTGATACTAAAACACTGTCGCTTATATCGCTGTTTAGATAATGCCCATTGGTATTCAGGTTTAAAGCTTTTCTTTAACGTCGGCAAAAGCCATGAGCTAATAATACTCTGCAAGAAAATCAAAAGAAAGTTTAATCAGTTAAGTTACATTTGCAGTGTGATTTTAAGTATTATTCAGTATGAATCCAAAAAACAACTAAAGGCTTGGCGATTAGAAGCTGCCACTGTGCCTGATCAGATGACGTTCAAATGCAAAAATTTCAGATCTCATACTAGTAGGTGAGAGTTTTGTCAAGTTTTACAATACACCACCTTGGTCAAACAATTTAAACAGACTGCATGTTAATTTGCCCTTCAACTGCTGAGTGTGTCCCGCTCAACTACACTGTAAGGTCTTCTCCAGGCAGGCTAAACAGGGATGCAGGTAATTTCAATAACCTATGATATTTAAAAATAACACCTAAAAACAGTTTTTCAGGCCAAATATATACATTGCACTTGGAAACATAAAGTACTTAAAATCCGATGCTTAGACAATTCCCTAGGTTAAAAGCAGTTACCAGGCTGTAAATATAGTTGTAATCCCCAGGAAAGAAGAGGCATTTCATAACGGAAACACTAACAGATATAAGCAGTTGGAGCGGTTCTCCAAGTCGCCCTCATCGTTAAGTCAACACCAGCGGTTGTGAGGGGGCAATTGTGCCCCTCAGACACCCTCACTCTTCCGCAGCCTCGGGGCTACAATCCCCGCACGATGTGTCCCCTCGAGACCAGCCAGCGCTTCCCTGGGACCTCAGCTGGGAAATCCCTAGCCAGGGAATGCGGAGTTCAAGCCCCCCTCCCCCTTCCTTTCCTGAAAATTAATGAATTGGCCGCGCGATTGTTTATTTAATGAGGTGTGTAGTGGCCTCTACTGGTGCTTGTGTGAGCACAAGAATGTCCCACTCTTACAAGTGGGATGAGCCTGGGGGAGGGGAGGAAGGCGAGGGGTGAACCTGCCTCCGGGTACAAAGCGCAGAACTAGACCCGGGAGCCCCGACGCGCCCCCGCGGCCGCCCCTCCCCCGGCCGCGTCCCCGCCCGCCTACTTCACTCTCCACCTAGCGCGACCCCCTTTCTCTTTGGCAACCGGTGCCGAGGCAGAGAAGTTCCTGCACGTTTCCTCCAGGATCCTAAACAAAAACACCGCAGCCACCGGTGCGGGTGCGGGTGCCGCGCCCCCGCCCCCACCCCGCGCCTCCCGGGCCCGCGCCCCCGCTTACCTGGGGACTGCGGCGGGGAGCCGCTCCTGGCTGCCGCGGCGGGCGCCGGGCGCCCGAGCAGCAGCAGGCAGCAGAGCCAGAAGGAGGAGGTGCGGAGGAGTCGCCGGGCTCCCCGCTCCGCCGCCATCTCTGCCCCGCGAGCGGCGGCAGCGGCGGCGGCGGCGGCACCGGCAGCGCCGCGGAGCCCTCGCCTCCTTCCCTCCCGCGCGCCTCAGCCGGTCCCTCGCTGCAGGCTCGGCTCCTGCGGCCGCCGCCGCCACTGTTCCGCCCGGCCCGGCCCGCGCGGCCCCTCTCGCGGGAGGGGAGACTCGGGGGCGCCTCCCTCCTGCAGGGGGGCGGAGAGGGGAGGAGAGCAGAGAGGAGGGAGTCAGTACATTCCGGGCCGGGGCTGGGGGGGGTCGGTCTCCAGGTTCCAGGCGCCGCCACCCGCCGCCGACTCCGGCTCCACACACCAGTGCGAGGGGGGCGGAGACCGCGGGCGGCGGGGGTGGGGGCGGGGGGCGGGGGCCCGGGGCGCGCACACACGCGCACGCGCAAGCGCGCGCCTCCCTCGCCCGCACCCCCTCGGCCCCGTGCGCGGCCCGCCCCCGCTCCAATCCCGGCTGCCGCCTCGCGGGCCGCGGCGGCGGGCCGCTCCCCTCCCCCCTCTCCCCTCTCCCCGGAGCCGCGGACGGGAGTGGGGCGCGCGCGCCGGGCGCTGCTGCTGGCGTCAGGGAAACCCCGGAGAAGCGGATCCTCCTCCTCCTCCCCGCGGCCGCCCGCTCGCCGCAGCCCCTCGTCCCCGCGCGCCCCCGCCGCCTGCTCCTCGCCCCAGGGAGAAATCCACACCCCCCTTCTCACCTACCCTGACGCCTCGGGCTGCGGAGACCTGGGGGCGAGAAGCGCTCCGAGCCCAGGCTCGTCCGGGAGGCCGGAGCGGGAGCGCACCTCTCCTCAGCCTGGGCCCAGAGCCTCTATATAGGGCCTCAGAGGAAACCGAATGGCCTCCGGGAGGAAACCTGGGTGCGCAGAGGGTCGGCACGGGGCTTTATGTGCTCGCCAAAAACAATAGCGATCCCGCCCGGCCCTTGCTGGGACCTGGCGCGGCTCCCGTGGGAGGGGGCCCGCCGCGCCGCCGCTGACCTCCAGCTTCCAGGCCGGCCGCCCTCGCCGCGCGCTTCCCGGGACAGGGCCGGGGCCCGCCCGGACCGCCGGGCCCGCGCCTCCACCCGCGTCGCTCGGCCCGGGTCCAGGGAAGCAGGGCGCCGACAAAGGTGCCCGGTGTCCACCCCTCCAGCCCGAGCGGGGGCCGAGGCTGAGCCCCAGGGTTCCCCGGGGCTGATCCTCTGGCTGTAGCAAACCTTTTACCTATACCTCTGCGGGGCACTTGGCTCTCTCAAATCTGGAGATCACGTCTTCCGCCGGTAAACCGGGAGCGAGAGGAATGTGATTTTGAACACTTGGTCATCGGGAAGCAGCACCCAGGCTTCCCCAGGGTTAGGGGAAAGCAGTTTGTAGTTACACGGCTGATGGGAATACTGCTAATTTTATAAACTGCCTCCATGGAAAATTTAAGAAAATCTCTTTGTGTGGTTATGCGCTTCAAGAGTCATGTCTTGTTAATAGGAGTTGGATTTTTGTTCACTGCTCTGTATAGTCAATAACCAAAATGTGTTGCTTCCCACGAGAAGATGGCTATTTCTCTTTCCACATCCCTACGTGCCTTCTCGTAATTCTTTTCTTCAGCTATTTTTTTTTTTATTCTGACGTGCCAAAATAAGCGATGTAAGGCTTGCGTTAACATTAGGAGGGAAGAGCTCAGACTCCTCATAAAACCTCTTAGATCATCAAAACGGTGGAATTAGGAACCCTCATCCCAGTTCTTTCAAACAATTGACTCCTAAAAGAACAAACATGCTTATTGTTTTCCACTAGGGAAACAATTTAAATATCTTTCTGTTTTGGTTAGAGTTGTTAACCAGCAAAAATATTTCCTAAATACCCCTGATTGACCTGTTAAATTAGAAATAGATTACCTCCCAATTACTTCACAAGTATTTGCTTAATTAACCTTTAATAATCACATCATGAATAATGTGATTATTCAGTTTTCTGAGATAATTAATGAGAAAAACCCTTTGGAAACTATAAATTACCTCGCAAATGTTAATTTTCAGGTATCTTTTCTAAGTCTGAAGATTTTTCATTAGTAAAACTATAAAATGTATAATGTGACTTCTAAAATGAAGCTTAAATTTATCTCCAAGTTGAAGAAATATGAGTTGTGGCTAATAAAGTAATCAGATTGATTTTCACGTATGACTTTTGTGAACTGTGTCACTCATGTCTCAGCCCACAGTGTACATCGGGGTTAAGTCAAAAAGGTTAAAGCGCTTTCTGTAAAATAGGGTGACTAAATCATGTATTTCTGACTTGTGATTAAATCACAATTTTAATTAAACCCACTCTAATAAACCACTAATAGATGGAGCCCCAAATAAAAAGTTATAGATTCTATATCAGTTCAAGAAAAGTAACCCCAGGCACACACTTGAATTCAGATTCCTCACCTTATTGCAATGTAACTGACATTGTAGATACTCTCTTTAAAAATCAGCATTTGAATTCATTAACCTCTCTTCTCTTTACTAAGGCATCTCTGAGAGATTTTCTTAGGCATATTCATCCTCCCAACAAGATTTTCAGCTAATACTTCAATCCACATTTACACTGCTAATCAACATACTTTATGTAGTCTAAACTATTAATCTACGGAGAGATATTAAGCCATTCGTGAAATTAACACTTTTTTCATCTAAGTTAGAACCTGAGGCCCATGTTCAAGGAATAGAGCACAAAGAAAGTTTTAGAGCAAAGAAAACAGACTGGCCATTGTATGTTGGTATAAGTTATCAAAGTGCAGGCCAAAAATAACTAGACCAAATATTCTTGTGAAATTTATTCTAAGTGTACTTTGATATAAAAATTAAATGAAAAATTAATAAAGCCAATGAATATAAAACTTGGTAAGAATCTTATTCTCTGTAGTAAAAGGATTATTTTTCAACTTTAGAGAGGCAATATATTTTAGTGTTTAATTGCTGGCAGTAATTAGATTCTGTAGCTGATTCCCTGGCTGAATACCAGTATCCAAGGTAGCGAAGAAGAAAGCTAGCCCCCTGACTAGTAGATCCAAGTATAGAACACTTCCTAGACACACGAAATTTTAAGCAGGAGTTACCCATATCGTAGACACAAGATTTTCTCCTACATAGGTGTTGACATTTTTACATTCACCCTTTACATTTCACTAGGTAAGAATTTTTATTTCTCCCTTTCTCCTCCCAAAGCCACCTGTTCGAGGGAGCCATCTCTGAAGTAAGCCTAATTAAGAAGGATATGTGCTCTTTTTTTTTTAAATGTTTTTAAGAAAGATTTTATTTATTTATTTGACAGAAGCACAGCGAGAGAGGGAACACAAGCAGGGGGCATGGGAGAGGGGGAAGCAGGCTTCCCGCAGAGCAGGGAGCCTGATGCGGGGCTCGATCCCAGGACCCTGGGATCATGACCTGAGCCGAAAGCAGACACTTAACGACTGAGCCACTCGGGCGCCCCGGATATGTGCTCCTTAAGGACAAAGCCTACACAATATTAATTTTGCTTGTTACACGTTGCTTAATTAACCATATATCTGTAGTTCCACAACAACTTACTAATTCAACAAATATTATTGAAGACCTTTTGTTTGCCAGATATTGTGCTGGGTGCTGAGATAAAATTATTTGTTCATTCATTTAATATTTATAAAACACTGTGTCTCATGTTCTGCCCTGTGTTCAAGGAACGCAATGGTGAGCCAGATAGACAAGGTTCCCTGTCTAGCAGGAAAGATAGAGTTATAATAAAGAAGTGTGAAGAATGTTATGGTAAGGAAAGATAAGGAGTGTGGGAAACAGTAAGAGCATCTAACCTGACTAAATTGTTTGTGGGGGCAGAGGGAGGGTGGGGTTGGGGAATTAGGGAAGAAGCGTCGGTCTCTAAATTGAGCCAAATGGAAGAAGATGGGTAGGAGTTAGCTATCCTGCAGTGAGAATTGACGTCGGATTTGCATTTTAGAAGGATCACTAGGGGCGCCTGGGTGGCTCAGTCGTTAAGCATCTGCCTTTGGCTCAGGTCATGATCCCAGGGTACTGGGATCGAGCCCCGCATCAGGCTCCCTGCTTAGCAGGAGGCCTGCTTCTCCCTCTCCCACTCCCCCTGCTTGTGTTCCCTCTCTTGCTCTCTGTCAAATAAGTAAATAAAATCTTAAAAAAAAAAAAAAAAAAAAAAAAAAAGGCTTCTCCCCGTACAAATTGTAATAATTCAGGTCTATCCCCAGGAATTTAATTTCTAAAAAAAAAGAAAAAAGAAAAGAAGGCTCACTCAGGCTGCTTCGGAGTGTAGGTTGGAAGGAGACAAGACTTAACGAAACCAGTTTGGATTTTGTTAACAGTAGTCTGGGGAGGAGATAATGGTGCCCTGGAGTAAAGTAGAGGGGGTTAAGAGAAGTGAGCAGATAAGAGAGAGATTTAGGTGATAGATAGAAGCAACAGAGGTGTGTGGGAGACCAGAGGCGAGTGTGACTCAGATTTCAGCTGGGGCATAGGAATGAAGGTGGTGACATTCACTGAGAGAGGAATTAGGAAGAGGAGCAGATGGGAGGAAATGTGAGTTTAACTTAGGACAAGTTTAATTTAAAGTGCCTAAGGGACATCTAAGTAGAAATATCAGTAAACTGTTTGTTATTTGGGTCTGGGGTTTAGCAGGGAGAATTGGGCTGGAGGTGAGTCATCAGCATATACCATCTATGCCTAAATATAAGGCGCCTCTGAGTACAGAGCGTACCCCATTTTCCCAATTAAAATCCGCCCCCAATAAAACTTTGTAGCCAGCTTAAATATATGAACTTTTAGAGATGTAGATTAAATGATCAGAGATCTACACTGATAATGTTTAATATATTAACTTAATTATACTTACATACTTTAAAATATTAATGAAATATAATTTTTAAAATGATTTTCTAGAAACTCTTCAGTGTTTTTATCATCGCCAGAGTCACATTTTGAGTCTCTGACACAGTTTCCCAAGACAGATTATCTTTACTTCGCCTAAATTTTGACTTTATATATGACATTGTCACTGGGAATTTTTTTTCCAGGCTTCAGTATCTAATCACACTACATCATTCATCCTATACCCATATTCACTTATATATTTTTTTCCATAATGACTCTTAAGGGCTTGTTTACAAGCACATCCAACATTTGCAAATTTGAAGGTATTTCCCTGGAATTAATTTCTAAATCTGTGTTAAATTTCCTATTTCCTTTCTTACCCATTCTGTCAGGGGGTTTCTGTATGAGCATTGAATGAGATTATTTCACACTAGTGCATATTACCCCAAAGAGCATTGATGTTCAAAATAATTGAGAGAACATCCAGTAATATGAAGGACTTTTTTAAGGTCAGAATATAAGGTGACTCTCTCTTTTCTAAGGGATTTATTGGGGAGGGAAGCTGGTATTATATTCCAGTATATACAGTAATGACAAGAAGTGGTTGAGATTACCCCAGGGAAGTTTCAGACCAGAGAGGAGGATGTAGGACTAGGACCAAACCCGGGGAACACCAACACATTTAAGGTACAGAACAAGAAAAGGAACTTGCAAAGAAACAAGCCAGACATATAAAAAGAAAACCAGAAGCATATATTGTCACAGAAGCCAAGGAAAGAAGGTGCTTCAGGAACGCAGGAGTGGTCCATAGTGTCACGTGCTCCTGAGAGGTCAAGTAAGGTAAGACCTGAAAAACATCTGTGTTGCATTTCATGATAAGGTGGTCATGGACAGCCTTACCAAGTGCGGTGGCAGCAGAGAGTAAGGCCACCTGATTGCTATGGCTTATCACTGAGTATGAACAACTTCCTCAAGGTGTTTACTTATAATAGGAAGAAAGAGTGGGGAAGTCTAGAATGGACTCTGTTAGGAGGGGAGTGAACTTAAGTGCTGATCCAAGGAGCCAATAGAGAGAGAAGTGTTGAAGATTCAAGAGAGCAAGGGGATAATTGATAGCTTCGAAACAGTGTAGTAGATAATTTGGCAGCTGTCATTCAGCAAGGC